GCGCGCACATAGAGAGTGAGAGATAGAGATACACGCGAAAAAAAAAAGAGAGAGACTCTCGCGCCTCTCTAAGTGCGTCTCGTGAATTACGCGCGCGCCCACACAGTGTGGGGGGTGTCCCCTAAAAATATTCCGAGACGGGCCGCGTCTTTATCTGAGAGAACCCGCGAGATTCACACGGGGCCCCACACTGTGTGGGGTGAGCGCCTCCCCCCCACGCGCGCGCGGTGAGTGAGAGGTGTCACTCAATATTTATATCTCCCCCCCCCCTCTCACCTCTCAATATGCCCGGGGAGCGCGCGTGTGGGGTCATAAGGGCGCGGGCCCCCCCCGCGTTCTCACTGAGAGAGTGTCGCCCCTCAGACCCGGCCCCGCGCGCCCGCGGAGAGCGCTGTCCCCCCCCCTCGCGCCTGAGGGCCCCCACACACACTGGAGAGATAGTGAGCACACGACGCACACGGGGAGATATATATATATATATATATATATATATATATATATATATATATATATATATATATATATATATATATATATATATATATATAGATATATATTAGGCTATAAGTATAGGTTTTGACCTGGAATGATCAGCACAAAAGAAAGTCTTGAAATTGCCTTGAGTGTCCTTTGAAATGTAGAAATAAACCGGAGTTTGCTCTGTTAGGCTCTTGTGCGTGTGAATCAATAACCCGAAGGGTCCTAGTGCGCCTCTCTCGGCAGCACCGCCGCTTGTCATGCAACTATAGGCCTCGTCGTCATCGGTTCCGTTTATACTCTTCAAGGCCTCTTCATCCAATTCAAATTCCACAACAATGTCTACCTGTAATATATAGTACGAGGATTACGTTGATCAAGTTATATTATGGTGTACGATTATTAATAATATAATCGAACTTGTTTTTTACAGACCTGAGAAGCAGAAGGCACATCAATGTAGACAATGGAACCAGGTTTAGCCTCCACCTTTTCGAAAACATTCTTATTCATTCTCAATCTCTTTATTTCCTCCACTGGCCATTGTACTATGTTGCTACCTGTTTTCTTGTCGAACACTATCGTCCTCGGAATAGCCTATGTTTTTTTTTTTTTTTTGCAATAAATAAAATCATTAATATTGGTAAGAATTAATTAATAAAGAACAAAGATGGTGAAAATCACTACTAGAAAAATGGATTTTTACTACGACCATTAACCGTAGCAAAATATACCAAATTCGTAGTAAAAAGGCTTTTGCTCTGCAGTTGCTACGAATTTGCCATGTGACAAAAATTTTGTTACGGTAAATGGACGTAGCACATACTTTTTTTGTTCTGGTAAATCCTAGCATTTACTACGACTCCAAGATTGTCCCATGGTAAATCGTACCCTTTATTACGACTTTTTACCGTAGCAAAAAAATTCATAATAAAAAAATCATTTTTCTACGAGTGTATATATATATATATATACCTGAACGGATGCCCAACCCTTTTGTATATCAGTTTTTTCGTTGTCAGTCTCTTTAATCCAACCCCACAAAACCCTTCTCTTCTTTTCTTGATCATAAAATGATTTGGAAGCGTAGAAATAACCGTAATCGTATCTCAATCCAATCCCCACATCAATGGTTGGATCATCAGGTATCCAGCTCCCCGATTCACCGTCGTAGGTCCCAATGGCATAATAGTCATTTCGATCATCGTCAAGGCTGGTCTTGACAATGTGCTTCACCTCCGGCCCGTTATCCGACGTGTCCAGCCCGTTCTCGACAACCTTGGAAACCGGGTAGAAATCAACGCACTCCCACATACCCGTACCCGCAACCCGATGGAGCGCCCCGTTAAGGAGTTCAAACGTCTTGAAATCCTTAGTGTCGTACACCAACGAAATGCCCGTCTTGTTGATTTGCGAGCCAATGGTGAAACGCCACTTGCCCTCGGGTGTCAGCCATGCGGTGGTGGGGTCACGGAAATCCTGGGGGGCGATGCCGGGTGGCGGGCCCAGTACCGGGTTGCCGGGGTACTTGACCCAATCGACGAGGAGCGGGTCCGACAGGTCGGATGGGTATGCTAGGTTTTGGACCTGGACCGATTCGTTGGTGGAACCGGTGTAGAGCATGATTAATTGGCCGTCTTCTAGAATGGTGGCTGAGCCGGTCCATACACCGTTGATATCGTACCAATTATCGGGAACCATAGCGATGGGGAGGTGGCGCCAGTGGATCAGGTCCTTTGAAACTGCGTGGCCCCACACGATGTTGCCCCATACGGCACCGTATGGATTGTATTGGTAGAAGAAATGGTACCATCCCTTGTATATCAATGGACCTACAATATATCGATCATGGGTTTTATTAAGGGAGATGACATAATAAAAACATGAAGATTTATCAAGAGTAAAGAATTAGTAGTCTTTTAGTCAATCATGGTTAACATGAAAAAATAATACAAGTGGGAGAAAAATGTTCTTTTTAACTTTCTCACTTGAAGGTAA